TAATTTTTTACAGCTGATGTCTGACTTCAAGCAAGTTTTCCATACTTGTGTTCTGAGACCGACTCCTCGAACCAATTTGGTGAGTGTTCAATACGATTCTTCAACAAGAAAAGATCAACAAAAATCTGATACAGATTCTGACCTGCTCACACCGTCAACGACCGGAAGGCTTGGAGACCAGTTTCAGAGAATTCTCAAGAAATCTGATGGGTCAATGATATGGGGAAAGCGAATCGATATCATGTGAAAGTCATGTTTTATGATTTGTTAACACGATCGTTTGTTTGAATTTTGTGCTTCCATTCAATTTTAAGGTGTTGTTGTAAATTCAAAGTTAATAAATAAGTGAGTTAAGCGGCTTTACCGAAAAGGTGCCAGCTATTCAAAACATCGAATTCTTCACCTGCCTTCCAGGTAGAACACTGTAACCGTTTTGCATGTACCACCTATACCAGCAACGCGACGATTGCCTGACATACGCGTTTCAATGGAGCAGTGGCATGGAGGGCGCCTCCCACCTGTAGAGGTATGGGATCGCATCCGCTTCTCGACAAGTTTTTGCTGTCCAGCAATCACAATCACATATCAGTCTATGCCCACTTATTCAAAGATTTGCCCTACCTTACCAGCTCGATGTACGTTTCAGCTGTGGCTGGGGTCAGAAAAGGTAATTTCGCCGACAAGGTCAGCAATGCTCATCGAAAGAAAGCGGAGGAAGGACATAACCAGAATGACACTAAATGTCGGATATCAAAACACAATCAAACAGGACAACTTGCAAAATTCTTCCGAAATTCCATAAACGTAGCGAAATGTGGAAATTCTTGAAAAAACATTAAATATCCAACCAACTTAAAGGAAGCGATTACGATAAGGAATTTTCGCATCGGGGGAGAACCTGCGCCACACGGAGCAATTACTTGGCTGCCAAGGAAGCGATGTGTGGTCCTCCCACGGCGAAAGGTGCTGTGGTTGCTGAGCAGGACCCGCGTGACGCCTCCGCCCCCAGTGACGTAACGCCCACTAGTTTTGTTGATGAATTTTGGATGATCATTTCCCTTCTAGTGGCTGTGTCTTCCAACAGCCCGCGTATTGCCTTATCAATCAGATCAACACTATGCTTGTTAGCATGATGGCGGCTATCGGGGTTAAACACGTCCGAACAACGTCGTCTTTACCGTCGCTCATCCATGGTCGAAAATGAAAGGGCAATCAAAGGGGTACCATTTTGCTTATTTTTGACGGATTTCTTTGCTTTTTTCCTTGGCGCCATTGAGACCCCCACGTCTCCTCTAAACCCCTTTGAGATCTATCGTAATCGCTTCCTTTAATTACGTCCTCAAAAAATATCTCAACCTGTTAGTCAAATACATGGTGCTTGTTACTATGTGGCCGAGTTTATCTGAGAGTCGGATCATGGCGACACTCGTTGTAAAGGGATCCCCATTTTCGATTCCTCGCAGTGACAATTTTCGCAATTCGTGTCTGACGTTCCAAAATTCGCCAGCAAAATTGGGGTTTTGTATTTTTTTTTTTTTTTTTTTTTTTTTTTTTAGCATGAATATATTAGATACAGAAAATTTTTATGATTATGGAACTGCAGCTAACCCTTTACAATATAGACCTTTGATTGAATAAAACTGGTGAAAGTTGTGACTTAGTGTGGCCCGTTCTGGTATCAGAAGGCCGTTCAGCAGTGAAAAAGTACCCATTTTACCCGGTTCTGTGATTCCGCATGTGCCTCTATATCATGCAAAAAGACCAGTTTTGAAAAAGCTTGGCACACCCTGAAAGACCCACGGCTTGCGCTTCACAGGCTTGAGGAAGCTTTGCCGCCGCCATCTCTCGCTCACGGTGGTGTGCGTTATCTGCTGCAGGAGCCACAGCCTACTATTTAACCCAAGTACGACCAACACCATGTTGAATGTTCTCCATATCTCACTATATGCACACAATGCCATTCAAACACTTATACAATTCAGAATGGATGTCAAATGTATGGCGCCCTTATCAAAGAGATCAGTGAAGGTTGATTGCTGATCTTGTCGGTAGGGGATCACACCTCTACCGAGCCCACCCACAGCAGAAACGTACTTCGAGCAGGTAAGGTTGGGCAAATCTTTGAATAGGAGGACATAGAATGGTATGTAGTTGTGATTATTGAAAAACAAAACACTCCGCGAGGCGGATGCGATCCCACACATCCACGGGTGAGAGGCACCCTCCATGCCACTGCACCATTTGAACACGCGTTTCAGACAGCGCTAGCGCTGCTGATATAGGTGCTACCTGCAAAAACGCTACACTGTTGTACTTGGAAGGCGGCTAATGAACTCGATGTTTGGCCGAGAGGGATATTAAGTCAAGGGGCCCAGTGGAAACCATGGACGGGTCTCGCTGAAGCCGCTTTCAAAAATTCATCTTTTCTTTCCGAACGATGTTTTTTGAGCCGGCAGAACAGGGTGTGCTGAGTTCACATCGGATCTACCAGGGTTGTTGACCTCGGATGTGATTGCATCTAGGCAGTAGGCATCCACGCTCGATCCAGATCCATTTGGGTGCGAAACCCTGCCTCGCGGGACCCATCGGTCCCTAATGGGAAGCTTATTCTGGTACCATGGGTCCCGCGAGTCAGGGTGTCGCACCCAAATGGCCCGCAAGATGTTACGTATTCATGCTGGTCAAAATGTTGGAAGACACATACCTAAATATAGAACGTCAAAGAACTCATCAGGTGAGGCACAGCACATTCCAAGCCGCTATTCCGTCCTACCATCCCCTTCTAGCCGGGAGCGCGAGTGGTAGTGTTTTTATTTTCAGGTGTCCAAGTGAGGATTGCATGGATGCCTCGACATTCTCGGAGAAAGAAGCTGATACGGCGTTAACGTTCATCAGTTATCGACCTTGGTCGATAATGAGATCATTGCTAAAGTTGGGTGCATAAGGGATGATGCACACCCGGACCACTTTCAGTCGATAAAATGTTTGGGACCACTTTGATAGAGCTGAGATGGAGCATACGCGCGCTGGTCGTAGTGCATATGGTGCCACATTCCGACAAGAGCCGGCCATCGCAGTGGGCCGGCCGATCCTTCTGTCATCAAA